AATAATAATAACAAAAATAATAATAATAATAATAATAATAATAATAGTAGACGAATTTCTGTATCAGTAAGGATAATGAAGGTATATACCCTGTATACCTGCTTCTCTTGTAAGCTTAACACAAAAAAGACCAACACGTTGTTGACCTTGTGTCGAGAGAGGGCACGGGTGAGGAGGAAGCGAGGCAGGCAGTATAAAAGGCGTCGACACCTGTACAGCAGCAGTCCACATCCAGACTACAATCAACTGATACCATGGTAAGACTTCTGTTAGTTGCACTCATGAATCACATATGATTACAGTACATGGTAATGCTTCCATTACATGAAAAAAATGAAACAAATATAATTAATATATGTGTGAGTATAATGACTTAATACATTATATAATATTTCTGTCCACAGAAGCTGCTAGTGATCACGGTGAGCGCCGCCCTCCTGGTTGGATCGTGCATGGCAGGTGGCTCCTACCATCATGGCTCTAGAGGCGGATTTATCTCACACGGAGGTAACAGAGGCATCTCTGGTGGTATCGGATTCGACTCCCATGAGTTCATTGGATCACCTGTGATCTCTTCAGGAGGTCATGGTGGTTCCTACTATGGCTCTGGTGGTCGCGGTGTCAATATCGTTCGGGCCATTGGTGGCTTCGTTGGTTCATCAACTATTGGTGGCGGTTATGGCTCCAGGGGCCTTGGTGGCTCCGTCGGTGGTGGCTCCTTCGGTGGATCCATTGGTCGTGGCTCCGTCGGTGGTGGCTTCGGTGGACCCATTGGTGGTGGCTCCATCGGTGGTGGCTCTTTCATTGGTCAGAGAGGTTCCATTGGTGGTGGCCGTAGTTACGGAAGATATTAAGTTACTGAACTAATTATACTGATGTATGATATTTGATATTTTTTTTACTCTACACGAAAAAATACAATAAAACTCTACACCTTAAATATTTTCTTATGTTATTTATCCATTTCCCATTGTGTGTGTGTGTGTGTGTCTGTGTGCGTGTGTAATAATAAACGGTTTATTAATAGAGTTGCAGCCGGTGGCTGAAAATATACAGACTTACATTTGATTTATACATAATGATAAAATATGCATTGAATACATTTACAGGGCTGTACAGTACATAAATCAGGAGTTGTTTATTATTTTAACAATAGATGGGATGGTGCTATTCTTATATCTATCGGTGCGTGCTCTTATGGGCTGTATTTTGTTGTAGTGGCGGACTGTGCGAGTTGGGTGGGGGGCTGCAGGTGGCAGGAGGTGGCGATGACGAGGGTGGTGTAGTAGTCCACTGCCAAACCTTTCCAGTGCTTGGTGTTGGAGGTCACTGAGGGATGGCATTTGCAGGGTGGAGAGAGCGTTGGTGTAGCCGGAGTATTCTGCGCGGAGAATGATTCTGCAGGCCCTTTTCTGTACCTTCTCTAACTGACGTTGTTGGGTGGAGTTGAGAGAAGACGACCAGGCTGGTGACGCATATGTAAGTTTGGGGAGAATAAAGGCGTTGTAGATGGTCCTCACCTCTGGCGTGGGTGTCCCAAGTGACCTAAGTCGTCGTAGCATGTAGAGACGGAACGAGGCTGCCTTGACTGAGTTATTTACATGGGCCTTCCAATCAAGTTTGTTGTCTATAGTTACACCCAGGAGTTTGGCAGACTGCACCAGCTGGAAAGGATGGGCACCCACTGTGACTGCTGGGGCTTGCACTGGAGTGGTGGCGGTATTGATGTGCATGACTACGGTTTTGGTATGGCTGATAGTGACCTTGTTCTCCGTAGTCCATGCCTGTAGCCTGTCCAGGGTGCCTTGTAGCGATGAGTAGTCTGGTGCGGTGCTGTCCACTGAAACCCCTATAGTGCAGTCATCCACGTACTTCCATAGAGCGTCGTTGATCAGGATGAGGAAGCACAGTGGTCCCATCTTGGTCCCCTGGGGAACACCGCAGGTGAGGTGGTGGAATGTAGAGACCAAGCCCTGATACCTCACTGCCTGGCGACGTCCACTCAAGAAATCAGTGAGCCATGTGTGTGTGTGTGTGTGTGTGTGTGTGTAAAAGTACTGATTTATATGTGTGTGTACTATGTGCCAGTGTTTTACAGAACACAACTAATCCCGCTACCCAACCATTTACCTGTGTGTGTACCCTTTGTCACACCACTACGGCTGCGTGTGTGTATTATGTGTGTCTACCGCACGGAGATGAGAGTGGGTGAGTGAATCCTTATGAAACACCAATATTGCAGGTGGTGCATCCACTTTTAACCTTCTCGTGTACAGAGAACGTCATAATTCAAACAATATCTAAAAAACAAAAACAAAAATGCTAACTTAGCTCGCGTTTTTCCATTGTAAAATACACGTTCTTGAATACCGTATAAATACTTTCTAAAAAAGTTATATGCGTGTGTCTATAATAGACATCATTTATGAAGCGCATTCGATCCATTTAAATTAAAATTCCATTACAAAATTAAAGATGTTATTCTTTTAAATACTTGCATATGTTAAAGAAGTCTAAGACAATTGGTTGAAGGATACACAGAGTCCTTTATATGAGTAAAAAGGAAAAACACACAGGATAAAAATATTTATTGAATAATTGGTGTACTAAACTTTATTTATTCGAGGTATTCTATTCACTATATTACCTAATAATAGACCAGATGGACGCCAGCACCTTTCTCAACAATTGGTACAGACAGACATGAGCCAACACACAAATGGAAGGACATAATAAATATTTTTCAAGGAGAGAATCTCGTTACTCTGCACTTTCCATACAGCTGTTTAAAGCTAAGGTCACACTAGAATTTATACCCAAAATAAATCCACCGTTAGCACTGACTTTTCAACGAACTCCTAAAGTTGTCTCTACAGCAACAACTTATTTCTTGTCGAAAGTGGGACGATACGGAGCGTCTGAAAATCCATGTTATGGTGAATTGAACTTTCCTATGGGCAGTCGATTTTATTAATAAATTTTGCACCGTTCTTATTTTTTCTCATTAATGTTAAAATGTACACAAAAAAATAAAAAGTGCATTTCAATAGCAAAATACGAGAAAAATGTCTTAGGAGAAATAAAAAAAAATCATTATAATAACAATACATCACGACGGGAGTTTCATTTGACTCTTGAGTTCTTGCATCACTTTTGTAAACATACATCGCTTGGACGCTGAAATTGTTTCTTTTTCGACTTGGTCTTCTTTAACAGGACCACATATCTCACTAAAGCGGACTGGACGCGAACTGGGCGCTTCGCCAA